CTCTCACACACCTGCGCCGACAGTCCGTGATGTTGCTGGAGTTACACCTTACATAACGCCTCACTGTACTCTGAATCAAAGTTCACTGGCGCGTACCAGCCAGCCCGACCAGTCTGACTCAGTCTCAGCCTCACACTGGACATTAAAACAAGTCAAAATCGCCAAGTCACCCTTACAGCCAAAACACTACAGAATGAGCTCACCTTTTTCCCCCCCAGCAGCACCTAAAGCTCAAATGCAGTACTACCGCATGTGACTGTACTAGACCACACAACGGCTGCGGGCGGCACCTGATTCATTTCTGGGGTTTGTTTTCTTCTAGGTGGGAGTGAAAGGCATTGTACACTTATCTAGACAGCGCTCAGTTTGCGAACTGCTCTTTTTCTTTCCCCGAGTGCCGTTTAACAACACGACTGCGTAAAAGAGAAAAGGCGAAAGGCGCTTAAAGAAATCGCCCATCTTTCACGGGTCCACGTCGCCACATCCAGAACCGAGTCGGTCCTGCTTGCACCCACCCACATCACCATCCTCCTGCTGCATTATCGTTACTACTAGTAATAGTACCCCCAGGGCGCTGCTGTGCACACTGCCGCATTACCTTTCACGCAGTCTGGGCACCAGCTCACTCCCTTGTCGTCTTTGTCGCCCGAGAAGTAGGCGAACACGTCTTTGCCCGTCCGCGCCGACACCGCCCGGGTGAACTCGGCAAAACCGCGGACGTGTACTTCCTCGTATTGGGTCATATTCAAGTCCTCGAGGATTTAATAACCCGATCTGAACTGCTCTTTCCTTCCTGGAAATGTTACTGTGCGGCAGCTGCCCCCAATCACGCCGAGCTGGAGGCAGTGAGGGTCTGCTGACTCCTCTTTCCGCCTGCTGGAGTCAATGAGCTGCCCCTGACGCCTTAAAGCGGTACCGCTAGCAAAGTTGCTTTTACTTTTGTTTCCTTGTTGCGTCTCTGACGACGTGGGTATGTGAAAAGAAACCAACAACAACAACAAAATGCTTTAAGAGCACGAAAAATGTGATTTTCTCTAAATTATTAAAAACGTAAGCAAAAAAAAAACATTTTGAGCGTTGTGGTTCTGTTTGTCCCCAGAGGGCATTCGTCGTACACGGTGGACAAGGTGTGCTGTGATTGGCCAACTCGACTCTTCCGGAAGGCCGCTCCTGATGGTGTTGTCATGGCGGCGGTTTAAACAGACGGAAGTGCTTTACACAATTTTGGGGAGTAATTGAAAATTTATTTTTATTATTTTCGTCTGCTCTGTAGGGACAGTAGGTAAACCACTCTTGTTCTTGAGGTCATGATTTCTAATGAACATTAACAAAAAAGCAGTCCATTTTCTTGGTTGGGGATAAAGTTCTAATAGTTGACGCCAAGGTAAACAATTTATTTCGTTGCCTTAAGATCAAGATAAACTTCAATTTCACAGCTGGAATAAGCTATAAAAGTTTTTGTATTTTGTATGTTGTGGTACAGGCAGATGACATGTAATGCGCACCTCATATCTATATATACTTTGCTTCGATAAAAAGTCCTGGATTTAACTCATGAGGTTTGCATATGAGCTGAGAGTACTTGTGAAGCTGGGAGTTTTTGGGTGAGATATGTACTTGAGCTTACTTTATTTAATATTAGAGAACTAGAACAATAGCACCACCCGCTTGCTTTGTCTTAGCAGGGAGGACACTATGGCTATGAAGCTTCAGAAACGACCGCTGCAGGTAACATTTGCGGAGCCCGGGGTCCAATCAGGTTCGGCGGAGAATCAGTTGCAGGTCAAGGCTGAGCTCCACCAGACACAGGTACACTTTCATACCCACGGGTGCCGTTTTATGGCAATGCATTGGCATTGAAGAGCTGCTGCAAGTTTTGTGGATAAACTAGATCAAATTCAGTTATGTCTTTTTAAAATCTGTTTCATTCTGCATCTCCAGACTGCTCACTATAGTGAGAATAATCATGATGGCACATTTACTGGGCGATGGCAGGGCAAGAGTCTGAGTGCTGTCTTGTTAAAGGCATTAAAGGGTGAAGAAAAAACGATTTATTTGGAAGTGACAGGGACTTATAGTTATATAATAGAATAGTGAGGAGTGAAACATGATGTCTAGCTTCTTCCAGCTAAAATGCACCACCATTTTTCCAGTGTTATGCATAGAGGCCCTGATTGA